AGACATTGAAATTTCGGTGGCATAAATGTTAGCCATTGCATTAAGATTACATTTGTAAACATTGAAATTTTAGTGAAATAAATGTTGACCATTGTGTTAAAATTACAACCATCATACACTAAGTTCACCTACAACATCCACCCAAGTTCACCTACAACATCCACCAAGTTTCACCTACAACATCCACCAAAACAAATGGATGGTGGTGATTCATTCCCAAAGCCTATAAATAGGCTCCTCCATCAAAGAATCAAGGGAGGATTTTTACACACACTTTCTCTACTCCCAAATTGGAAGAGAATTCACACCACACCAAAGCCTTGAAGCCTCGAAACTTTGAAGCTCTCAAGCAAATCCCGAAGGATCAAGAAAGCCCTCTTCGTTCTTCGTGAAATCCTCCTTCAAGATCAAGCCCCAACGCCCCTTGAAGAACTTCCACCCATTCAAGATCAAGCCCCGACGGCCCTTGAAGAAGGTGTTCATCATCCATCAACTGTTCGTCCAAGATCAAGCCTCGACGGCCCCTGGATCAACAACACTACATCTACACGTTTCAAAGATAGAATCAGAGGCCAAATTCGTAGAAGAGATTGTAACCCCTAAATCATTAATACAAATATTATTTTGTACACGTGTTCTTGTCTCGTTTATCGCAGGAATTTCAGTGTTTACAACAACTTTTCAAAATATGTGTTTTTTTTTTTTCATCCCAAATCAAAGAAAAAGGAGAGAATATCATACCGGATCAAATCTAATCGTTACATGATAATTGTATTACACAAATGCATGTAACAGTAAGACTTCATCTCATTGATTTCTCTATCTTTGTAGTACAAGGCATGTGGTTTTTGATAATGGATGCAGACCTTAATGTTAGCCCTTTCCATGCAGGAACACAAGTTCGAAATAATTGTTTTCGTTTCCTTTTTTATTGAATTGGAGAAAAACACCGTAGCAACCATGTAAAGAAAAAACACTTCAAAGCTCAATTGAAGGATAAACCCCTCAACCATCCACTTATCATGATCCTTAGTTGCAAAATTTTCTTTGTTCCAAGTGTTCTGACATTGCTTGCTGCGCAAGTGCGTTTGATGCTCAAAAGTACCGCGTTTCTTTGGCTCTCATTCACTGCCTTGCCATCTTCCGTAGTGATTTAAGCTTCACGGCCACAATTGGTCATATTCCTCGCCACCAAACTCTGTTTTGGAGTTCTCTTTTGCCTATGACAAAAAACAGAGCTCTCCTTTGGAAAAAAAAACAAAAAAACAAAACGAAACAAAAAACCAGAGTTCTTGCGCTTGGGTCTGTGTGAGAGAGAGAATGTCTCCCTGCATAACATTTATTCATATTTTATTAGGACAACCTCAAACTTTCATCTGTAAGACATCCTCTGGTGAATTCTATCTCCTTGCTTGTAGTACAAGAAAATTACAGTGCTTTTGGAAAATGGATGCCAACATTAATGTTAACCCTCTACATGAAAAAACGTAAGTTCAAAATATTTGTTTGTTTTATTTATTTATTTATGTTCCTTCCCCACTGTGATGGCATAAATATTTGCTTTTGCCCTTTGGACCCTGGTCACTCCATAATATTTGTCAATGGGTGCATTGGGTTGTAACAATAAGTTCAATTCATCTAGATTTCGAGGCCTATAGCTCGCCAACATAATGTCAAGTTGAAAATTCCCAATCGATTTTGGTCTTCAGGCTTTCTACTCGTTATTAACTCCGGCATTCCAGGCCATGGATTCTTACTAACTCCGGCATCCTTACTGTGAGTTTCTTTCCTTGCTTCCGTATCTTTACTGCAAGTACTTGTTGGTTAGGTGGTTTCCTTCTCATTTTCCCATGGATATCGAGGAAGAGATGATGGATAGCCTTAATATTACTTTCTAATGTAGCTTGGACTTGGAGGAGAGATTTGACAACAACATCCATTTGGTTGGGAGGCTAATTGCAGACAATGAGCCCCTCCCAAACGGTAGTTAATTAAATAGGTTCTCAAGTCAGCCTGAAACAAAATGGGGATGGTCAGGGTCCAAAGGGCAAAAGCAAACATTTATGCCATCACAGTGGGGGATGAACAAGTCACCAGAAAATTCTGATCAATTCTCTCTCTTTATACTACTTGTAGTACAAGAAAAAAAAGGCCTTCTGCAATTTGCATAAATGGATGCAAACATTAAAATTGACCCTCTAACAGAAATGTAATCTTCAACACCCCCACCACCACCACCCCCCCCCCCCCAAAAAAAACACCCTATATCTCCAAAAGCTCCAAAAGAAATTATGGACGTCGAAACGTCGGTTAATTCTCCGCGAATCCCAGCTCGGTCGGTTAGTACATTTTCTTTTGCTTTCGTTTTCTCTACTTTCTAATTATTTGGTTTTACTACTCCTAATAAAATACGTACAAGGTGATTAGCTAGGGAAATTCGTCCACTTATTCATCTAATTTTTTTTTCCAGCAGCACAAGGAAGGATAATGGTCCCCACAAATGTATTTTCTTTCTCCTCACCATGCTAGGCGTGCTCCTACAAGTTAAATGTGCAGCCTTGCAGGCGTCTCCATTTGACACAAACTATGTCATTTTTTTTATATTAATTGCCGATTTATTTGCTTATGCCGGGACATTGGCCATTGTTAAGATACTGCAAGCTTCCCACAATTCAAATTTGTATGAATTGATGAACAGAATTAGCCTTTTGTGTGGAACTTTTGCCTTGATTCTACTAACGTTCCTCCTAGTCCCAGATTTTGGATGGTTTGCTCTCGCATGTTGGGCCATATGTTTTGTGACAACTATGGTTAAGTCTTATCCAACCTTGAAAAGACTTTGTACAAGTACAACAAATGCAACTGACATACTCCGTTATGTCATTCGCAAACTGAAGGAGCTGAACATAAGATTGAATGACACAGAAGAATCTCAATCTCAAAACCAAAATGGGATGGTTTAATTAATGGGTATATTTAAGTTTGCCCCCTCAAGTTTGTGTTTAATTGTAACTTCACACAAAATCTTAAAACTGTAAAACTTTGTACAGAAAATTAAGATTTTAGTGTAAGATCATAGATTTGTCAACTTTTTGGTCAATATCTTTGTTATATGGCTATGTGGCATCACGAGACCCACTTTATCACCTATATGGACTACCCAAATTAAAAAATAAAAAGAAAATTTTGCTTTTGGAAATTCATTCAAATCTTCTTTTTTTTTTTTTTTTTTTTTTAGAAACTAATGAAAATTGCTTGAAAATTTTGAGTTTTAATGATCAGGACAAAATAAAGGGTACAATGAATAGTAACATGTTTGATTTTTTAGTGTAAAAATGTAGTTTTTCGTTAAAATGAACAGTACCACAGGTTTTCGTTAAATTCGTTAAAATTCTTAATATATATATATATATAAAAGTTACAATATTCATTAACATATTACTACACAAAGAATGTATAATGGTAGAGTTTTTATTTTGGAATGAATATATATAATAAGTCACAGCATATGAAGTTAACCTTTTTTTTAGGGAACTTTAACGAAAAGCTTCCGGTACTGTTTACTTTAACGAAAAACCACATTTTTACATTAAAAAATCAATCCTTGTACTATTCACTTTGCCCTTTATTTTGTCCTTATCGTTAAAACTCAAAGTTTTCAAGCCTTTTTCATTAATTTTTTTTTTTTTTAACAATTCGTAAAGTTAGGAACTTATTCTCAATAATGCCACTTGCTACAGAAATACCCAATACACATAGACTGTATATTTCTAATCAAATTGCTATCACCCTAAAAAAATTAAGGGGAAACTTGATATAAGTCCAATTTTTTTAGTCAATAGTAGGAATAGTCCAATTTATTAAAATAAGTCCAATTTCATAAATTTAATTATTTAATTATCAATAATTATCTCTTCAATGATAAGAATTATTATAAAAATCAATTTCTTTGTAATTATCTCTTTGATTATTTCTTTTTATTTACTTTTTGTTATTTCTTTGTTCTTCCTCCTACTTTAAACCTCATTTATAGATTTTATTTTTAATTTTTATAATCAACCTATACCATTGTATTTTATCTACCTATATTACAGATTTTTTTTATAAACATCATGTCATAGATTAATGTGTCTTGTTTGTAGGTATATTATTATTTTTCTACCTTTTAGTTAGGTTTCATATCTAGTTATAGGTATAATATACATTCATATATTTGTTACTTGAATTAGGGAGAATGTTTTGCAAATAGATTTATGTTTGTATATTAGTTTTTTTGTTATAAGATATTGATTAGATTTTTTAGAGTTGGAAAATGTATAATATTAGAAGATTTTAATTGATTTTTAATATTTTTAGAAAATATAAAATGAATATAAAAACATATAATTAGATAATTGGACTCACTCCTAAAAACACTTTAGGTTTTTGGAGCTGGATCTAAAAGCTCCAAAAATTAAATTAATGTATTCGACAAAAAAAAATTGCTATATTTAACGGAATTTATCAATAAACTAGCCTCTCCGCACGCACTAACGTGCGTGCGAGAGGCATTTTTACATCACGGGCGCTACGCGCCCCTAAAGGTGTATTGTGTTAGTTTTTCCCATTGTAATTGTCAAGATATATTTTAAATGTATTGTGCAAAGAGGAACTCTTTTTTTATCATGCATATCCTAAAAAGTTATCAAGTTTTTTATTTTTACTTTGCGTAAAGTAATGATTTAAATGGTATTCATGCAATTGTCAAACAACATGAGATTTTGGATGCAAGTTCCTACCTACCTAAAGTTCATAAACAATAGTAAGTAGATGTGAATAAAAAAGAGTAGATGAAAACATTAAGTACTCGTAGCAAAATACAAAACAACTTAAAAGTCAAAATATAAAACCTACATCACAATATGTACATTTTTCACAATACCCATAAAGTCTATATGTCACTGTTTCTTTTGGTATGAAAATTGACATCAATGCTGCAATTTCCATCCATTTGTTCCTGATTAACGCTTCAAATTTTCATTGCCAATCTACAAACAATAGTGAGAAAATTAAAAATCAAATAAAAAGAGTTAAATGATAAGTGAGAAATGCATATTGAAATGTTATCGTTAATAAAGTTGTTACCTATTAGGAATCACCATAATTAGCTGGAATGAAGCAAGACTTCTTTGTATACTACATTCCGTGTAAATACACCTTGTTGGCCGACTATGGAGCCATTTTTTACTAACACAGTTGTGGTTAACTTTGAGACCCCCCTCGATAAAGCCACATATAATTGTCCGTGACTGAAGACATGATCTGGAAGGTAAACGCCTACATGTGGTATTGTCTGACCTTGAGATTTGTTTATAGTGATAGAGAAACTTAGTTTCACTGGAAACTGCTTTCTTGTAAGTTCAAATGGAAGCCCAGCAGTATCAGTACTTTTGAGAGGGATTCTTGGTAAGAAAACTCTGGATCCGGCAAATTGTCCAGTTAGAATTTCAACATCAATAAGATTTCGGTAAGAACCACGACACAATAATCTTGTACCATTACACAATCCCAATTTCGGATCAATATTCCTTAAAAGCATGATTGGAGCACCTCTTTTCAAAGTTAACTTGTGCGGAGGCAAACCACCAAGTGAGATTGAATTCAAGAACTCTGGCTGATACAAATTCCTTTCATCATCCTCAACTGAATCAAATGAATACATTGTCTCTTCTAAACCTGGAAACATATTGATTATCTTTTCATTTAACATATCAACGTCTTCATTTGTAGGAGTTACCACCGCCCTTTCCACCATGTAGGTTGCATCATTCAGATGATCCTCTAAGTCAGGGAAGATTTTGGCAATTAATTGATTAATGGAATGCTCACTCTCCCATGGTATCACCATGCATTCAGGTAGTTTTACCATATCATCCATAATAACATCTTCATTCCCATCACCAACACGAAGTAAAAATTCTGAAAATTCACGATCATTTATGGATCTCATGTTTTGTTTGAGTTTTAAAATCTTTACCTGTGACCAAAATGATGCCTTAACAACACTTGCTTGGATTAGTTCAGACTTGGTTCCTTTCCGGATAACAGGAAGAACTTGTCGAAAATCTCCCCCAAATATCATTATTTCCCCCCCAAATGGTAAGTCAATATCTGTTAGGTCTCTGAACGTTCGATCGAGTGCTTCAAATGCATGACGATGCGTCATTGTTGCTTCATCCCAAATAATTGCCTTTGCCTTTTGTATTAGCTTTGCTAAATCAGATTGCTTACCAATCGAACACATCGATGATGCATCAAGACTAAGTGGTATCTTGAATTTAGAATGTGCTGTCCTCCCACCAGGCAATATCGTAGCTGCTATTCCAGATGATGTTGTTGCTAATACTATGTGCCCCAACCTTCTCAAGCTTGCTAACAATGCGCGATATAAGTAAGTTTTTCCAGTTCCACCAGGACCATCCACAAAAAAAGTTGCATTCTCTGATCGTTGAACTGCACCCATTATTATGTTAAACGCACTTCTTTGGTCATCATTTAAACGTTCAATTGCATCAAGATCTTGTTGTGGAATACCTATGGATATCTCATCTTCAATACATCTTGTCATTCCTGAACTTGATTCATTTCCTCTTGTCATTTGGGGCAAATCAAACTCGTTTATACTCTTATTAAATTGAACCAAAAGTATGTTCAACTCACGCAAGAGTCTGTTGGTAGCAAGTGTGGGAGTTATGTTAGTCATGGAAACATAATCTTCTATCATGAATGGATAGAACTCATCCCATAACCCTCGAACACCAATTGGTGCACAATATACCAATATGGTGACGAATAATCTTCTTAAAGCCGACGACATTTGAATTGTGGAGGCCTCTAGCAAACATTGTCGAATACTGTCATCTCTTTCTAACAAACCTCGTTGTTCTACTGCCTGCTTAAATGTTGGATGCAAAACCCCATTAACTGTTCTCAAGTTTGTGAAAGATGTTGGTCCTCTAACATGATTAAGAAGGATCCGAAGGTAAAATTTTTCACCTTCAGCAGGTGAAACTGCATATATTCGTCCAATAACCTTGTTACGATTCATTCTTTTAGACCATTTTCTTTGAGCTTGAATCCATCTGTAATGTGATGGGATTTCCATGTATACGTACCGTCGCGCTTCTGCATCCACATGATTAAGTGTAAAAAATTCAGTTAACATTGTCTTTCTTGTACTCTCATCACGTAGAATATTTATTATGCTCTCGTCGGCACGAAACTGAACTTGGTGCATATTAGGAAGATGTATTTGCAATCGCTCAACAGATGGGTAAATTCGATTAATAATGAACTTGAATATCTTCCATAATGCCTCTGGTGCGCAAACCCATCTTGCATCCTGAAACTGCTTTATTTCATCGTATTCAGGGTCTGATTGCACTTCGACTGTCACTCTATCTGGGCCTTTGTAAACATACTTATATAAGTACTTGACACTTTTTTATACTTGCACAAATTTCAACATTGATATGACAATCATACCTTAACAGCAACCATGGATTATATGGAATAACCCAACTATTATCAACCATTATGTTTCCTTGTCGATCAAGAGAGACGGGCAATCGATTTCCTCGCCTTTGATAAATTGGATACGAATCATTCCCTTGAACAGTGACTGGTGCAAATGGTTTGGGATACTTTCTCTTACAGCTCCCATTTTTCATACATGGAGATTGAGGATTATGAATCCCACACGGGCCATGAATCATATGCTTTAACACCACATTGTAAAGTTGAGGCTCTACGTCTTCGTTTGGTATTTCAGCTCTAACAATTCGGTCATACTCATCTGGGTTATTGATTTTATCATTTTCATCTAACACCACCAGCATATGCACATGTGGAAGACCACGTTTCTGAAACTCAATAACGTATGTGTAGGCAACAACATTGCCTAGTACCCCCTTTTCAATGATGTCTTCTTTTAGTTGCTCAAGTTTTGCATGAAATACTCTAGTGAGTAAGTTAGGACGATCTTGTGGAGTTTGTCCAGCGAGTAATTCACTTTTGATTTCTTCCCAACTTGGGTTACATGTCATGGTAATAAAAAGATCTGGCTTTCCGAATCTTTGAACCAGAGTCATTGCATCTTGATATCCTTGGTACATGTCACGTGGGCTTCCAACAAATGATGATGGTAAAATAATTCTACGCCCAATGCTACCTGTTAATTTTTTATTTTCAATTAACTATATATATTGTACAGATTTTGAACAAAGTTATATTTTTAAATAATGATAACTGAAATGATATATATACCTGCATTGTGTTGACCTGCATTTAAAAGAGTCTTGAAGTCCTTTATAGAGATCCGCTCTAACTGTGGCTTGATTAGAACGCAGCCATCGAAGTTTTTGTGATTCAATTTTAATGTAGTTATCTACAGCATATTGTTGCAAGAGACGCCCACCTCGAAGCAAAAGTGATGATCCATTATGGCGTATCTGTAGAAACAAATTTCATATATTGCTTTTAATATGAGAATCATCATTCATTTGTATATATTGGGAAGTAAATTATGTTATCAATACAAACCTGTAACATATAAGCATAATAGTCGCAACATGTTATTGCTCTTCCACCATCATCACGACTATTAACATCCCAACCATATGTACCGTAAGGTAGCAATAATGGATACTGTAACGGATCATAAAATCCGACATAGTCTCGGACGTGAGAAAGTCTTCCACTAATTGTCTCGACCACGATATCCCTTCCATTTGCAATGGTGGCATCATCTCCATCTATTATAATTGCTGCAACTTGTGATGCTGATGGTAGACTGTATTGACGCCGATCTATTGGTTGCTCTTTTAGGATCAACTTGCAATTCGGCAAATCTTGGCGTTGTCCGAGGCTTCGCAATGTATGAACAAAAGGATTATGGTTGTTCAACATATGTTGTATCTTTTCAACCACACATCTATCTAAAACTTCACTTTCACACATTCGGTTTTCAACTTCATGCTCAGTGTCATATATATAGGCTTGTAAAAATCGCGGTCTGTTTCCTTCATGTGGTAAAAGTCCACCAATCTTATGATATAATGCACCTTGAGCACGAAATGTGTAAATCCCACGGCCACCAATATTTATTCTTTCATCCACGTGTACTCCCATTGAAGTGAATGCAAATGCGTGATTGTAAGCTCGAATATTTTGCCTGAAGTGTCTACCCTCATTTGTTTGGTCAGAGAAAAGAGCAACCATTCTGGTGGAGACTGTATTGGGGGTAAAGCAACTCTTCCTTTCAAGCAACACATATTCAAAGTTTCTCGAGTAAACAATCGTGCATAGCAGTACGGACATGTGGTTGGAGCAGGTAAGCGGCAACCTAGGATACCCCGATTCTCATTATAATTTCTAGCACAATTGTGGTTTCTTCTTCCTCTACTTTGCCGCACATGACGATTGGTTTTAGTTGCATGTTCTTCTTCTGATATTTGTACATGAATATCCAACACTCAGTATAAGAATTTCCTTTGTAACTAATAGTATATCTATATATAGATAGAATTATATACTAAGCTCACCATTATGGGGAACAGTTGAGAGCATCCCATCATATATTTGTGACCTATTCGAATGTGTCAATTGGCCTATATGAGTACGCATTCTAGCTGAAATTTGGTCATCACGATTTGTGATATCTGACAGAACCCTTGAACTCGCGCTTTCATGCTCAATTTGTTCTAATAAATACATCACATTATAATATGATTAGTTAAAAAATTAATGTTTAATATTTAATATATTTAGTTGTGGTCTAATATTTTGTAAGACTACCACTAAAAATAACTACAACATTGAGATCAATATGAGAGTACGAACAAAAGAATAAAATGAGATTTCAATGCACAAAATAGTGTTCTAAAAATTACCTAATTTTTATAGTGTGAAACAAATACAAATAAAGAAATTTAAATAAATACCTGGAATTTGTTGTTGTATATTACTGGGGTTGACCACAACATCATAGTTAGCCAAATGAACTCGTTCTTGTATATTACTGGGACCTACTTGTTGCATAGTTTAAAAAAAATAGAAATTAGATGTTTTTAATTTTTTTAATTATGAGTTTAAGAAAAAATAATATGCAATAAATACCAGGAATTTCTTGTTGTATGTTACTGGGGGATGTCATAGTATGATCATCACTTGGAGTTGAAATTTGTTGTCTTTTTTCTTGTGCTATTAGACGTCGTCGAGCTAGATATCTTTGACGTTCTTCAGGACTCAATGATTGACGCCATTGTCTTGTACGACTTTGAGCATGCTCCATGGAAAAATTTATCTAAAAAATTAATAAACATAATGAACCTAAATAGAATACAAATTTTGTGACATTCCACAAATACGAAAAGGTGTATACAGATGCCTACGAACAGAAGAAAAACAAAAGCTTTATGTTCTACATGTCCTCCATTTGTTGTATTCTTTTTTCTCCATTTCTATTTTATTTGATTTATAAATACATTCAGTTCTCTTTTAATTGGCTATATACTACGTGTGAGAGGCTTTATTAAACATGCGCACAACGGGCGTCTTACACATTTGTCATATTTAACACACGCCAAGAATAAAAAACTAAGAAAAAATATTACTCTTTATCTTGATAGATTAAAAAACATGTATTAGCATGTCCTAACATATGATTCTGTTTTGAGGGTCTAATTTGTCAATATTTGAAAGACACTCTTGTGCTCTCTTCAAAACAATAGGCAAGACAACAATATTGTTGGGCACTTTATCTTTGTTCAATCACATCTTCTCGGTATCTCCATTAGCCGTTAAAACCTTCTCTATTAGAAGCAACTTGTCCTACAGCTGCATAATATGCTCGTATTAAATGGATCAATAACAATTGGAGTGTTGTCAAATGGCATGTAGGCATACTCAATTGAAGGTGAGGTTCTGATCATGACAGAGTGCAAGAAATCCTGCATCAGGTTCAACCAAAGCACCAATTAAAAGGCAAAAAGCTATGTAATAAATTTTAGAAGTCGTATCCTATCACCAAGGGCTCGTAGTAAACAAATTTTTGGTTAGAAAGAAATCAAACTTCAAACCAATTGCATAAGAATGCAAGCATTATCCCTGCTGTCTGTTAAAAAAACATTAAAAAATGTGAAAACTAAAAACAGAAAAACAAACTGGTTATCAGACAAATCCTTAAACTGCCCAAGAAAAGAATGTAAAAAAAAATAAAAAAATTCAAATTACCCGAAAACAGAAATGAGAAGTTCTACAAAGTCATAATTTCATCATTCTTTCTTCAACTGAAGCAATTGGAACTGCACAGCCTGGCCCATATTGCAATTCCATGAATCATGAGCTCCAGGACCAGAAAACCCTCCCTCTCTAATGTTGGACATTCCAGTCCTAACCCGAATTGGCACACCCATAATTATGTACTCACTCACTTCTCTAACCTCGTCAACTCTACTATTCACACAACCATATGAACAGATGATCCACCACCTACTTGAAGGACGCCAATGCAAATCCGAGAAGAACTACAATTGTGTAGATTTAATGTATGTGCGATGAAAAATAAATAAATAAAAAACCTATTGCACACTTGGAGCATGAATTCATAATCTACCCTCTCTTGCACCTTTCCCACCCCTTTTCTCCTTTTTATATAGATTTTTTAATTCATAAACAAAAAATAATGTTCAGAATAAGCACAAACGATTAATAAATCCGAGAAGTTAAACTATATAACATTTCGCAGCTCTTACTATATCCTCCCTAGAAAAACACAGTGGAATTCTAATGAAAATCCGATTACCTCACCTCTCTCCTGCCCATCAATTCCATCCAAATCCTGGCAATAGTGCACGGCTCAATAAGAAAACTGATAAAGAAACCCAAAAATAATTCAAAATTACTCAGTAGAATTCACAGAAATTTGAAGAAACCCAATAAAAATTCAAGCTTTTTGATTATCCAATATACAAATCCCATTAACAAAATCAAATTTATGACACAAAAGACATGATCTTTAGCCACAAAAAGCAAAAGAGATAGAGAGTGATTTTGCTTTTTGAACTATGCGGAACGTGCAGAGAATGAAAATATCATCAGCCATTTAACAAAATGATATTTTAGGCAAAAAGGCATCACCTTTGGACCCCAAATGAAAGAATGTGAGAGAGAAAGGGCATACGTGGGTGCCAAGAAGAGGAAGAGAGCAGTTCCATTTCCTGTAAAAACGAAGAAACAGAGCATTAACATATACACACGCACAAATCTCAAAGGAAAATGGTAAAAAAAAATCACTATTGAGAAAATAATTAGAAAACCAGAGAGGAAAGTTTAGAAACTCAACAAAGGCTCCGAAAGAAACCTTGCGTGCTTGCATTCTTTTTTTTTTTTAATCCATTTCAACCGAATCATCCCATCCCCATCCTCACCCCAATGACCAACAAAGCACCCCAAAATTTCTTAACATGTGTTGTTCCCCTGGATGAGGAGGCGCTGCAAAGGTATGTTTTAATTTAAAAAATCTCCCTAAACTACTCAGATTTCTCGGATGCCTAGTTCATCAAACTATCTGCATCTCTAAACAACTAATTACAGCATCAACCAATCACTAAAATTCAAAATTCAATGACCATCTTAATCTTTTCATAGATTAAAGCAACCTTGATTCACTGGAGTACTGATTAAACACACAAATAGATACATAAAACTGTCATACACTTTAATACATCAGACAAACCTAAATCCGCCAAAACTTTGCTATGTACAAATATAGTCAGATTAAGAAGGAGATAAATGATATCCTTAAAATAATTTATTTTCTAAAATTACCACTATGTTTTAGTTTGCTCCTAAATTCCAAGCATGTAGCACAGAATTAGAGCAGTAAACAACCTCCACTTTTCTTAGCACCAAAACGTAATCCACTTACACATTTAAACTATCCAAACTAAATCCCAGAAACGAAACTACGTACAGTATCGATTTCCAGCCTTTCTACTACGAAATTACCAAAACATAAACAAATTGAGCTTCATATAATCACTGTAAACACGTACAAATGCAAATTTAGATTACCTGAGGAGGAAGAGTCAGTTAATTTTCGGATTCAACAGCCTAGGCAGGGTGAGGAAATCCCCACCAATTTGTGTGAACATGCATTTATTTTCCGGACTGCCGGTTTCAGCTGAAGAAATCATACAGAAAAAGCATGGAGGGAGGGGGGTTTGAACGGAAGACAAAATTGAGGTCGACAAAATCATCCAATTTTCTCTTTTGTATGTTCTGTGGGGATCGAGAACGTGGGATAAAGGGCGGTTCCATCTCCGTTCTGTAAACCGCTGCAACTGCTAACGTGCGATAGATGGAGTGAATGTGATGCTAACGTATGTTCACAGTTTTACGTTCTTAACCCTGTTTTCTTAGACAGTTATTTATTGATTTGTTTTTCTTGAAATACAGTTTTTTTTTATTCAGTTTTTTTTTTACCAATTTGTCCTCATTTTTTCATCTTTTTGAATTTCAATTGTGAAGAAAACAAAGGGGCTTTCTTGGCATTTCTGAATGTTTCACCAAACTGGCTTCTCCCTTTATATATATAGATTATGAACGAAAACTAATAAGAAGACCCAAAGTTCAAACAAACCGATCTGCTTAGTCCAGAGAGAGAGAGAGAGAGAGAGGGGTGTCAAAATGCTTGCTCTCTCACCAATCGCTTACAGTCATGATTCGTTTTCCGGCAAGATTCAAGGACTAAATAGAGATAATTAGGGGCTTACCTAACCGGAGATTGAAAAATCTCGCCGGAGTCCGTTTTCCGGTTTTCTGTGGTCGCGGGAACGAGAGGGAGAGAGAGAGAGAGCAGGACGAGATGGTGAAGGGTGATGGTTCTTCCTCGCACACTCGTGTGCCTCTGTGCGTGTGTGCTTGCGGTGCAGAGAAGGGAGAGAAGTGAGAGCCGAGAAGGAGAGACAGGAAGACAGAAAACGAAAAAGAAGAAGGAAGAAATGAGAGGTTCACAGGGGGACAGAGAGAGAAGAAGGAGAAATTGTTTGGGGTGCTGCCACGTGGCATATTTAGAAAGAAAGGGATCCAATGTTTTGGATCCTGATTTGGTAGACAAAAAGGATGAAATTGATATATTTAAAATATTTAGGGGTAATTACAAACATATACTTTTATATTTAGAGGGCGGGTGTTACAAGAGGAGCTGCTCACCGCAGACAGAGCATATCGGCTGGAGCAGACGATCTTGCAGACATAATGCCTTCACATCACAACTTTGCCCTCTCTTTCATTCCCTCTACGACGGTTCAAGTAATTTTAAGTGTTTAATGTCTTATAATTTTTATATAAATTAGAAAAAAAAATTATTAGTTTCAAGAATTTGTAAGGGTAAACTAGTAAACTTGCAAAATTCAGTCTTAATTTCACTATAAGATTTGCAAATGAATGCTGGCTGACCAGCCCACAACATTTGCTCACTCTCTCTCCTTAAGTTCTAAAGTCTGTACTCTGTATATATATACCAATATTAAGAAGCTATTACTAGGAAAATTAAATTTGATAGACAAAGTTTGCAAACTAAATGATGTGTTATCAATAAAAAAATAAGCATATTTACCAACGCTTAAGTAATAATTCAATTACCAACTTTTATGTAATTAAGTTTACAAAATTTTCGCTAAATTTTTTGTCTTTTTAGCATTACCCTAATAAAAAAAACAACAGAGATAGATAGTAATTGTGTTGAGAAGATTGAAGAGCGAAAACAAAGAGCGAGATGTAAGGAGCGAAAGCAAAGAGAGATGGGGATTAAAAGAAAAAGGAAATTCTATATGTATATTTGGTAAACATGGCATACTTGAAATAACAGAAAATTGGTGAAACAAAATCCACTAACTTGTGGTAACGTTAATTTGCATGAAATATATGTGAACCTGACGGTTGGGAGAAATCGATCAAAAAAACAAAAGTTTAAATCTTTAACAAATTTAGGGAGTAAATTGAAAATTAAGTAAAGATTCAAAGGAGAAATCGGTAATTTAACCTAACAATTCATCAATTTCCCTCCTAAACTTGTGACTATTGACCAATTTCCCCCCTCAACTCTCATAATTAATCAATTTGCACCCTACTGTTAATTTGATCATAATTAAACAAGTGTGTGTAAGAAACTAAATATGATGTATGTTAATCATTTTCCTATGTCTTTATCCTATTACAAATATATTAAAATTTAGAATTTTACAATTTATCATAGATAGTATTATTAGTCATAATAAATTAGTATGGAGTAATTTTATTTGATTTTTTACTATACAAAATTGATAACGAAAAGGATTGATGTGTACATTTTGTATGTGAATACAATTTTCTTTATAAAAGTGAAAGCTAAGTTCAAGTAAACTGGAGAGAATCGAGTTTTAGTGCAAAAATGGCTAGTCAATTCATAATTTTCGACTCCTTATTAAGAATAACCTATTTTATTGAAATATGTCTGATCCATGAGTTTAGGATTATTATTTCTTCTTCTACATGCTTTAAACCCGATTCATAACTTCTTCTTATAATCAACTCATATCACATACTAATTGTATTATGTTTTTGTACATTTTACCCTATATTATGCATGTGAGTTTATGTTAATTTTAGTACTTTGTTAGAAGTTATTAGAAAGATTGAAAGAAAAAAAAATAGATGGAAAATTAAAAAAAAAAATTAACAGTAGGGTGCAAATTGACTAATTATGAGAGTTGAAGGGAGAAATTGGCCAAATTAAAGTTGAGGGGGAAAATTAACTAATTATGATAGTTGAGGGGGGAAATTGGCCAAATTAAAGTTGAGGGGGGAAATTGACTAATTATGAGAGTTGAGGGGGGAAATTGGCCAAAATTAAAGTTGATAGGGGAAATTAACTAATTATGAAAGTTGAGGGGGGAAATTGGCCAAAATTAAAGTTGAGATGAGAAATTTACCAATGTCACAAGTTCAGGGGAAGAATTGATGAATATCTCTTTATTAAATTATATTCATCAGCGCCGCTCAGCCTATAAATAAGAAATCCAACCCCTTCATTTCCTAAACTTTTCTCCTTCCACTCCCTATACAGTAGGGATATAGGAGCCTACTGCGATACCGCCTAGTTCTCCACGTCCTCTGGGAGCTCGCTGTTTGCGAGCTCAAGCTCCGAGATAGGAGCCTACTGCGATACCGCCTAGTTCTCCACGTCCTCTGGGAGCTCGCCCTCTGGGAGCTCAAGCTCCGAGATAGGAGCCTACTGCGATACCGCCTAGTTCTCCACACCCTCTGGGAGCTCAAGCTCCGGGATAGGAGCCTAGTGCGATACCGCCTAGTTCTCCACACCCCACGGAGCTCAAGTCCCATTCCTACAAAAGTCCAGTCCAGAAAAACACAAATTTGCAATTAAATCAAAAGTTATGGTCCCAACTGGGTGAGTACATCTTTTTAGTTGTTTATTCGTGTTTTTCTTTTGTTTTTTTGCATCAACTCCGCTTCTGCATTTCGTCACAAGCTGATCGTTTCCTTTATGCTTTGCAATCAGCTTGTTAATCTATCGACGATACTCTGCGTAACCTCCTTTCTCCTGATATGGTAATAGTACCCAAAAAAAAACACCTTCTGCAAAAAATAAGAAAGCAAATCCCAAATTTGCAGACATCCCCTAAAAAATCAGAATACAAAGCTCGAAGAAGTCCCACGATCAAAATTCAAAAGCAGAAAAATTGAAACCAAGTACAAAGAAATCGAGCGGTAATTGGAATTAGGGGATTTTCAAAACAGAAATCCTAATTTTAATTCTAAATCCCCAAATTGAAATTTCAAAACCCTAATACTCAATTTCAGAATCCAAATCGAAATCAAGGTACAATAATTTCATGAATCTTGGTACCTTCAGATCAGAGAAGCTTCGATTTGGAGGTCGTGGTAGGAGATGGAGGTGAAACTGTGGAAGTATGGATCTGGAACATGGAGGAGTCATAGAGGTGTGGTGGTCGATGACTCGACGGCCGACGTGTTGAGTCTGTTGGCAGAGGAAGGAGAAGGAGGAGAGTAGAGAGTGCCGAGACGATTCGAAAGATTAGAGAGTCTTGTACCCTAATAAATAACAAAAAAAATGAATGAATTAAAAATACAGAAGTGGTAGGGTTCATCGGCATTGCCTGGTATCATCGGCGAAAAGACCTGCTTTCTTGCTTGCACGCTTACGACTAAGGGTTTTCTTCCTTTTTAATTTTATTTTTAATTGGCTTCCATATTTTATGCTTTTTAAAATTTATTTTTATCTTTAAAACAAGAAAAAAAATCTTTTAAAATTTTATTTTTATCTTTAAAACAAGAGAAAAAAATTTCATAATTGAAAAGTATGATCAAGTCGAACCCGTGCTATATATAAGGCTTTGTTAATTATATTTCCTTTGTTCATATATAAACAATACATAGGTTATTAAAATTTAGAACGAAGGATCCATGCCTCGTAAACTTGGCACATCTTCAGGGCGGGCCCTCTTAAGGAGATGATAGAATTCGAACTATTACAATAATTTAGAGAATTAAAGAGTTTCGAACCCAGTATGCATGGTTGGAAAACCCGACCGCCTATCTACTAGAATATTGAATCACATACAAGCCTAAAATAAATTAATGGATTGGAGGGCGTTTTGACATTTTAACTTGATTAGATAAACTTTCGTGGAATTGAATTAATGGCATTTTTATTATGTTTCGTTTTAATATTTGTGTGTAGTAAATAGAGGAGAAAAAATATGTAGATATATGAAAGAAATGACAAATAAAAAAGCATGAAGAAATAATATTTATGTCAAACAGGGATCATGGATAAGCTCATGTTCTTAATTAGTATTGTGGTCTAAAAAAGATGGTCTCCCTAATGTTTTCCTATTCGTTAATTATTCAATGCCACTTATTTCCATGTAATTTTCACATCTAATCCTATATGTTGTTTATAATACAGCAGCACTGGGGAGGAGGGTGGTCAGTACAGCACTAGGGAGGAGGGTGGTCAGTACACATCTCCACTGGCAGCACACCAACTTATATTCCAGTTCATCAACATCCTAGGAGTCCTCCTTCAGGTGAAGCATGCAACCGGAGATTTACCGTCTCCATTCGTCACAGACCACAACACAATTATGATGTTGATTGCTGATTTACTCACTTACGCGGGGACATTGGAGACTGCTAAGATTCTCCAAGATTCCAGCAATACAAATGGATATAAATGGATCAACAACATTAGCCTACTGTGTGGAACTTTTGCGGTGATTCTGCTGGTGCTCCTCCTCGATCGAGATTTGGGCTGGTTTGCTTTTGCATGTTGGGTGGCATCTATTGGGATAATTGTGACCATGTCCTACGAAACCCCAAGAAGACTCTGTACTGGAGCTGTTGATTATGTCCGTGAGAAAATGAAGGAGCTGATGAGGAGATTGAAGGGCACCGAAGAACCCGAGAACCAGGACAGGATGACTAACCCTGAAACTTGTTAAAGTTGTTAGGTCTCCTGGTTTTTAGGATTTGTTTTAAGTAATGGTGAATAATCCCTATTGGGACACATTTGTTGCATTATCTGTTTAAGACTTGGTCATATACCACGATCCTAGGGTTGTAAATCGTGGGCTGTTATTTCTCCTTCAGTGTATTTTGTAAAGCTATTATATAGCGACTGCAACTCTTTGATTTCAATAAGAGAGTTCTCCATGTATTTGAGTTTTATCAAGCTGTTGTTTTGCAAGTTCGTTGTCGCTCTTCTTGGTTCTAACAAAGCTTTAATTAATGAACTACTTGTTATTGCCTTTGTATTACTTGGTTAGCTATTATACTACCATTTCTATTAAAGACAGAGTGGTCTGTTTTGAGTTAGAAACGGTGTATCGCTCAAATAATGTTGTTAATTTGGAGATCCAAGTTATGGATCAG